AATAGAATATTTGAATAATAATATAGTATAATAATAAAATATAATTAAAATGTTTAAATAATGATAAATAGTACAACATAAGTATATATGAAAATAATTCATTTATTAATGATATATATATTATATACCAAAAGATTATTCTATATTTTTTGTCTTGTTGTTCTTCTTTTAGCATTAATAAACTTCCGTCTTGTGTTTGTAATTTGTTTTGGAAATAAGTATATTGTTTGCCCATAACGCCAAACGTAGAATTTAGTAGAATCATAATGGATATTTTTGTCATACTGAGTCATAATTGGTTTTTCTAAGTATTGCGGATATCTGTAGTTGATGAATGGGATGTCAATGATATTGTCTGACATCTTGGAATGATTATTGATTGACATTTGATTTATTGAGATCTGGATAAATGAAAGAATGAATTTTTAATTGAGATTGTGGTTTAATGTTATTTGTAGTGTTTTTAATATCTAATTCAACATTATTAACATTATAATGTTGTTGGTGATTTTTATGCATGAAGTAGTGAGTTATATTGTTAAAAATACCAAAAATTAATCTAATACTCCAGCCAAAGGTGTCATATAATAAACGAATGTTCATAAAAGAATTTATAATAAGTGTAAAGATTTTGATTATAAAGATAATGCCTAATATTCCGGACATTAATGAACCAAAATATGTAAACCATCCCCACATTTGATGCAATTTGTCTTCTACCATTGAGCTTATGACTGATGGATCTATAAGCTTGTTAAAATTTAGTTGATTGGTAATTTCATAGCCCAGTGTTTGGCGTACGATGTTGTTTTGAATGGCTGTAATTTCTTGAGAGAACATTAAGTGTTTTTGTAACGCTGTCATTACATCACGATTATAAATACCCGCAGACATCAAGTACTTAGGTGATTTATAATTCCATGAAAATTTTGTTTCTGGTTTTAAAATTTGAGGTGTTTTTACATCTATTAGGTGTGGATTTAGTCCAAACCAATCTCCATTTAAAGAATATGCAGATGGTAATCTGTTATTACAAGTTATTTCAGCTGCATATTTTTGTAGAATATGTGATTTTGGTGCCATAAAATATGATTGATTTTGATATATTACTGGTAGTTCATGAAAACAAGTGTCTTTCTTTGCTAATTCTACCATGACTGGCTTGCATTTCATTAAGTAAATGATTTCTCCACTAAATATTGCCATGCAACCAGGAGTTTCACACATTACAAATGCGAATTCTGTTAGACTATATGAGGCTAATGATAATTTTTGCAACAATAATTTTCGTTCTATGTTACATTGCTTCATTGTTAAGTCATTATATAAATCATTTAGAGATCTAGAAATACGGTGTTCGATCCAAACAAATTTTGTATTTACATAGGAGATTAAATCTGTGCGTTGTGGTGATATAGTTTTTAAATTAAATGATTCCATGTGTCTTGATTGAGTGATAATATAAAGTTGAGGATGTTCAGTTTGAACTACCGGTATTCCACAAGCATCGACATTTTTTACATATTTTAAGGCAAAGGCGATTCCTTCTGTTTCAACTAGAAATGTTTTAATTATTTCCGATGGGTTTGAAAAAGATGATGCGGATATGATTGAAGCAGGACCATCATATAATACGTCATACTCCAGATTGCAATCTTGAGAGTTTGTGTCCCATATGATTTCTCCTTTGGACGAATCAAAACCATATGCTTCAGATAATGTGAATCTTGCACCATAAGGAAGGATTATAGAATTTTCTCTGTAATTTGCCGTGGAATAACCATCAGTTAGGGTAATTTGAAATTTTGCCTGTACTATTGATTTGTGAAAAGTACCTCTATTATTAATAAATGTGGTGCCTTCACAATTTCCTTTGTGATCAATAGATCCAGCAATAGTGTAAGAGGCTAAAGTGGTGTGATTGATTTTTAAATTGTGTATAACTCCTCCCGATGGTAATTGATAGATTAATTTTTTGTGAATTTCATGACATCGTGCAGTGCCTATTTCAGAAACATCTGAATAATATCCATCAGGTAAAGTTTGTAGATCACCAAATGTAGAGCATTTAAAAATTAAATAATCTATTGTTATGAGGCAAGTTTTGTAGTAAATGCTGTGAGATTCAGTTTTTTGTAGTAATTTTATTCTGTCTATTGTCATGGTTTTTGATGGTTGAGGTTTTTCGCATTCTTCTACTGAANTATTGTCATGGTTTTTGATGGTTGAGGTTTTTCGCATTCTTCTACTGAAAGACTACTGAATGACGTTATGTTTGAGTATTCAGTGGAGCAGTCGTATCCAATGATTGAATAAGTATTGATAAACATTGTTGAAAATATGATTGGCAGTAATAGAATCATCTTACCTTAATTTTATATAATATTAAATTAAAAATACATATCAATTAATACATTAATACATTAATAAAAAATAAGTGGGGTCGCGGCATAGTAGAGACATTGCATAGTAGGGTCCAGTATAGATTTAATCTGACAGTGATTAAAATCACTATCATAAGAAACGCTTCGATGCAAATCTGTAGATAGTGTTTAATTTTAAAAAATTGATGGATAATTGCAAAAGCAACATCAACTTCTATTAAAATAAAATACAAAACCCATAATTATCATACAAAAATAGTATATTTTTCAATATGGTAGCCATTTGCGTATAGAAGATAGATCGTCGGGACAAATTTTTTTTTTTCATTTTGTAGTACATAAAATAAGCTTTAATTTTATATATGTTTAAAGGACGCAGTATTTCCGGAACATTTTCAAAAATTAAGTTGAAAAAGTTATTTTTTGTAAAAAAGTTACTATTTTAAATCCTCCCAGTGAGCAGAATAAGTGTTAGATTTTCAAAAAAAATTATATCAAATGAAAGGGAAATATCTAAGGTTTCAATACAAAAAAATATTATTTTTATTTGTTCATTTTTGAAAAAGTTATGGCAGTTTTAAGTACAAAAAACATCCCGATAAAATGTAATTTTTATCGCAAACATTACATTTTTTTTTAAATTTTCGACAGCCATTTGCACATAGAAGATAAGATGTCGGGACAAATTTTTTTTTTTCATTTGATAGTATATAACATAACCTTTGATTTGATATATGTTTAAAGGACGCAGTATTTCCGGAACATTTTCAAAAGTTCAGTTGAAAAAGATCTATGTTTTTTACAATATTTTAAGTTTTGAACGCCCCCTATATAAGGGGAAATTGTCCAATTTTAATAAAAAGTATGTCAAATGAAAGATGTACTTATAATGTATTTAGAAAAAAAAAATTTGTGCTGATATATACATTTTTCAAAAAGTTATAGCATTTTTAAGTTGAAAATTTAAAATCGAAAATCGAAAATTTTAACACAAAAATAGTGTTTTTTTAACTACGGCAGCCGTTTAAATGTAGAAAAAAAAGTGTCGGGACAAATTTTTTTTTTTCATTTTGTAGTACATAAAATAAGCTTTAATTTGATATATGTTTAAAGGACGCAGTCTTTCCGGAACATTTTCAAAAATTAAGTTGAAAAAATTAATTTTTGTAAAAAAGTTGCCATTTTAAATCCCCCCCAATGAGCAGGTTAAGTGATAGATTTTCAAAAAAATGATATCAAATGAAAGGTAAATATCTAAGGTTTTAGTATAAAAAAAAATTATGTTGATTTGTTGATTTTTCAAAAAGTTATGGAAGTTTTAAGAAAAAAAAGTGAAAAAATTTCGAAAATTAGCGATTTTTAAATTTGTAATTTTTTTGGATATTTCCCCCATTTGCGGGGAACGAGGGAATTTTTTTCAATTTTTAAGGGTAATGTCTTCAACTAGATACGATTTGTGATCTTTTGACGTATTTTTGAAAGAAATCGGTCCAGTGAGAGCTGAGAAAAAGTGGCAACAGACATAAAAAAAAAAAAAAACACATCATAGTAAAATTAATACCTTCTCCGCTTCGCATCGAAGCTAATAAATATATTATTTATTTTTTTTTTTATAATAATAACCTTTAAATATTTGTGATAAATACTATTGCAGAGCTGTAGGAATAATATATTATGAGGAAAATTAGTAAATATGAAAG